CACACACACACACACACTCCTGTTCGACGCAGTTACTCTCACACACACGTTTTGTCTTTCCTCGGTTGTACGTGTAGATCTGTTAGTCTGATAAACGGGATTCTGAAACAGTTCAATGGCGTATTCGTTGCAGTGGTCTCCTCGTTTAGTTTTAGTAAGACTTTTGCGGCGCTCGCAACTGCTTAAGGTGATATGAGAGTACGAAACACAAGTTGGTTGTATTCGCAACACTTCTCAGCACGGCTTGGTTTAGGCCAATATTTCGATTTAAAATGTTCAAAACTTGAGGTGAAATCTCTGATTGAAAATAACACTTTATTTGAGATTGAAATAAGTCGAGATTACATAGCTTTGAACTTTGAATCTGAAAGGACTCATCCAAGTTCATCTCTTTACCTCTCATTGGATAGTTTATGAGCAGAATATAATGTACAAATAGAACAATATATTATAATATGTAACACTTTTTCATCAAACTCAGTCAACACAAACAAGATCTATGATATATGTGAAGCAGCGTGGTGGAATCAGGCTCTTGTCAATTTTGGGGCATGTAGAGTTATTGGCATAATCTTAAAACTTGTTCACTTGTCTTTATGTGGACGAAAAAAATATCCATTTATCTTGAATACAAGTCGAGATATTTGCGAATGAAGGAGGTGGGGGTCACCTGTTTTCAGAGGTAAAATTATCGAGAAAATGGCCGCCAAAGATTAGTTATTTCCTTAGCCTAAGAGTCTGTGGTAACCGAAAATTTTCATTTTGGTGCCTTTAATCAACGCTTTAGAGAAAAATCCACAAAGAAAATAGTTATTTAATGGGCATGAAAGATGTTGAGCCAAAAACCAAAAATTTGATAAAAGTTCACAAACCTGTGGAAAAATGCAAGTTTCTTCTCTTTGATTATTTTGACGAGAGCCTGATTCCACCACGCTGCCTCACATATAAATTTGTTACACGCAATAACTTATGATTTCATACTGTCATAATGACCAAAATTATCTTTTCTACGTGAGGTGGGTATTAACATCCAACAAAAACAGAAAAGAGCAAAGAGTCAATGTCTGCGGCCTACACAAGTATCGTTTTCCCCAGACAGGATTTGTCCGTCTTTCCTACGCAAGGCACTCAGATAGTAATACTCGTATGTGAGGCAGCGTGGTGGAATCAGGCTCTCGTCAATTTTTGGGCATATTGAGTTATTGGTATCATCTTAAAGCTTGTTCATTTGTCTTGCTTTCAATGAAAAAATGTCCCATCCATTTTCAAGAGAAGTGGAGATTATTTGGATTGAAGAAGGTGGGAGTCACCTGGTTTAAGAGGTAAAATTAGTGAGAAAATGGCCGCCAAAGCTTGGTAAATTCCAGAGCTTGAGAGTCCATGAAAACTGTAAATTTATATTTTGTGCCTTTAATCAACGTTTTCGGTGAAATCCTCAAAGGAATATGCTTGTAAATAGACATAAAAGGTGTTGAGCCAAAAAACAAAACTGATAAAAATTGCTAAGCAGGGTGAAAACTGCTGTTTTCTTCGATTTCATTATTTTGACGAGAGCCTGATTCCACCACGATGCCTCACATATAGAGAAATTCAATCGGACGATAAGAACAGTCTGTGATTGTATTGGTGGAATCAAAAAACGCTATTAGGATTCCGGAAAGGAGATGGGAATAAAGCATGATATAGCCTACGGCTTACTCTGGGAATGATTGTTATAAACACGGGTACTCAAATTCACAGCGAGTTGTGTGAACTGGTTCTCTTAGAGAACTTACTTACAAATGGGTAACAGGTAAAGATCAGGGAAACGTAGCTTTTTGAACAGCATCCGAGCAAAGGAGTGAAAGGAGAACCAATATCGCTGGTGTCTGCTTCAGATCTGGCACTTGATGATGAAGATGATTCTCTTCTACCTTGGATTGGGCGACGCAACAAAATTGTTTCGATAAGCCCCACGTAGATATTTATTTTGCTTGCCTCCCGGGAAAACCCAAATTGTATGTTGATTATGCTCATGAAACTTTTTTCGGGTACATTTCTGCGTTCACTTTTTCCACTGGAGGAACTTTGAAGACTTCAACTGACTTCTTTTATTTAGTAAGGTTTTACGGCGCTTGCAACTGCATAATAAGGTCAAGCGGTGGATGTCTACGGAGAAGTCCAAACGGGGAATCAGGCTTACTCTGCTCACCTCTTTAGCCTCAACAGCACAAATTCTGCTTCGACTACCAAGGCACCCTGGAGATAGCAGTTCACTAGAGAGTGACAAACATACTATAGGAGTTGATTAAAAATGGCGATAGCAAGGATGAGGAAAGAAAAAGCAGCAGTTCCTCCTATGTTGTCGCGCACAGTATGAGCACGACATTGATAAATCAGCCCATTTACAATTCCACTGTGCATAAGAACATGTTAATATCCCCACTTTGGGAATGGCCTAAAGATAACTTCAGTTAGTAGCACTGCCCGGTGTGTGTGTGTGTGGGG